CTCGATCTCTGTTTAGAAATTGATTTAACTCCTTTCGCAACGTTAGCAGATTTAATAATGTCTTTATTTTTCACGATTGTCGATATCGTCGTTCTCGGAATACGGTATGCAACAGTTAAATCTCGAACACGCATACCAATTTCATATTTCTCAACAATCTCTTTTTTCAGTTACATTGTGATTCTAGTCAATTTTTTAGTTTTCTGTTGCTTTTCATTTGCCTTTTTGCAATTCATCATTAATAAAACTAATAAAATTTTACTTACAAATTAAAATCAGAAAAAATTTAACAAAGTTATAAACCGTGGCACCGCGAACGTTTAGTCTGGTACTACACGATAGTGCTACTTGTTTATAGATGGCGCGTATAATTGAATTAAGTCGTATACCGAACAAAATTTGTTTTGTCCAAACAGGACGTATTCCGAATTGGACGTATTCTAAAGCAGACGTATACCGAGGTACCACTGTATATATATTTTTTACACGTGTATACAGCAATGTACAATGCAGTGGCGTGCCGTGACATTTGATGATAGGGAAGCTGTGTTTCTATAACAAGCCGACATCCAGGGGCAATCAGTTAATTCTTTCTTTAACTGTATTTTTAATAGATTATTTATCTGACATACTTAATAAATAAACAAGTTCAATATAATTACCTCTGTTATTAGATCCAATATATTCCATATGCCCTCTAAATGCCAATTCTTGCTTTGATAAAAACATATAACATCTATTTATTTAGATATAATATATCTATTAACCGTAACTATCTCGTTATAATTTTCAATATTTATTTTATATTATTTACTAATGTTAAATTCTATTCCGCTTTGATTTCCAAATTGCTTTAAATACGAAAGAATCGACGATTTTTCGTGTCTTTTGCCAGCTAAATTATCAAAGCCATTCTTATTCCACACACTAATTTCATTTGAAAATAGTAGGCAAGCCAACAAAACAATTTTTGCATTTTTATGCATTTACAGAGCCATTTTATCGTGAAAATGTCGAACAAATTTTTTATTGAAGTGTTTATATTTAACTTAGGCATTTAATATTTTTTTTTCATTATATAATCTCGAGCCAAAACTTTTTTAATTAAAATAAATTTTTAATATCGCAATTACATTCTGAATCGCTAGCCACGATATAAAGGCTAAAATTAAAAATAAAATTATAAAACTTACTCGATAAAATAAAATATGTGGTGGATATACATACCCGGTACAAAATATTCTTCAATTGTATGAATATACTTTTATGGAAAATTATAATTAAATATAGCTTTGTAATGAAATGTACTGTACATAAATATAACGTAAAATCTTCTTTACTTTTTAAATCTTAACCACTTAGTCAAATAGTTCCCTACGAGTGGAATCAGAGACGGTCCTGCTAGGTGTGCGGCGTGTACAGTACATGCACGCGGGCTGCCAAATCCCGAGGGTGTCGATAGCGGTCAATTTCAAATGCCTCTTTTGTCGCATCACTAGTATATCTAAAAAGACGCCACAGGGTTGTTGTAAATTTTAAACGTTTCTCACAATAGAAGTAAAAATCTAAATATGTTAAACTTAATAGTCATTTGTTTTCTAACTAATTCGTTTTAGGACCAGGTGTCCAAGGAAATTTCCAAAATATACAACTTTTTGGTCACTCTCATTGAACTGGAAAAATTTCTGTCTTTATTACATTAATAATACGAAGAAATCAGTCTCCACTGTACTCGGCTAGAGATTCGGTCAGTAAGCTTTTGTTTAAGTAAAATTTCGGCTCTTTCATCAGGGTTTTGTTTATGTCCTCAATTCCCTAATCGCTTAATTATTTAACTACTTGTTAAGTAGAAATAAGTTGAAACCGGTTACTTTGTACTCGAATATTTGTAGTCTTGGGAAAAAAGTGGAAAGAAATTTTTACAACGGATACATACATCGTAAATTTAAGAAAATTAAATTCTAGAGCTTTTTCTGTACCTCGTACATCTCTCTCATTCATTAAATTTAGTTGTAAATGATTCTGTCAAAGTAACAGTTAATTTTTTAACATACAAGAATTGTACACGTTTTTTTCCTGCATCCCCTTAAAGATGGGACATACGAAATCGTAATATCACTGGTTTAACATTGAAATCCGTGAGTAATATAAAATCGGAGAGCGGAATAAAAATATCAAATATTTTAATGGATTTTTTTAACTTCTGTCAACTATACAGAAAACTATCTTAAAAACATACCGCTAAATTCTTATCGGTTGGGTTAAGTTATAAATCTACTCGTGATTGACGTAATCGGGCGAGGGCGGCCAAATATCTAGCGGACGGGCGGCTAACAGCCCGGAACCGGTCCTAGATAGAATTGGATGCGGTATACGTGTAGCATCCACCCGAGGTACTAGGCTTCCAGGTGAGGTTGGTGCTCTGTAAAGCGCATGCGCGAATCTGGCTTTTTGGATGCTGACGATACAACGTTTCCACTCCGCTACTCCGCCACTAATATTCGAGTATACAATAGTAATCTTATTTTTTTTCACGTGTAGTATAGAAATTTTAATAAGTTTCATAATGCGGTTATAATAAAATATTGTGCGATTATTTTCATATAATTAAAATTAATATGTATTTAGTTTTTAGAAAATACAAGGGAAGCGGCGCATCCATCGCCTGTAATGACGGCATGCTACTGGTACAATGTACAGTATGTACAATATTTTTAGAACTCGACATAGATCGAAGGTCCGGTTCGTCTTTGTTCGTGTTGGTCGCTCGTTCAAACGTCCGTTCTCGATAGTCGTTGGTCCGAAAATGAGTTCCAGTTCAAAGTCCGCTTTCCTCTTTTTTCATGCACCCTCTATCGGTCCGAATCGACACATTGCCGACGGGCGCCATACTTCCAATAGTTTTTCTACCTTTCCCAGTAATAAGCTCCATTTATTAGGTGTGACAGTGTTTTGAACGTCTTAATCAGTAATCTCTCTAATACCAGTATTTCTTAAATTCCTTCTATGAACTAGTTCGGCCAGGGAAAATCGTGTGCTCTTGTGATTGCCCACAACGCAAATAACACTGGAGCTTCCCAATCCTTTCCCGCTTCCAGGCAAAGGGTTTTTAAAACTCGTTTCAATATATGGTGGAAATGTTATATAGAATTAGAGTGTGGATGGCATATGTGTAAGTTGGCCGACTTCCGGGGGGGGGAATCGTTAATCACGCGTCAGAATGATCTAGGATCGAACGCGTGTGGGTGTGGCGGAGGAGACACAGATGACAAGAATCTCACAAAAATCTGTTTAATTTAACAGGAAATAACTTACACTATGCACAAAGTTCCTTAACCAATTAAATGTTCGTAAGTCTTAAACGTCGAGGATGTTTTTCTATCGTCACTCGGAGATGGGCCCCGGGGCTGCGGCAGGTAAGGATACTTGTCGGGAGGCGTCGGCGGCACGGCTCTCTCGATGGACACTAGTGCGGACTCTTCGTCTTTTGTGCGTCGACACACAGAGAGTTTTCGCTTCGGACTTTTTGGAGTGCAGGTACTCCGTAGCACAGTTTACGGAAGAAGTCCCTCTGTCCTTGAAGATCGGGGATTATATCAATCTGCGTTCTCTAATTTGTTTTCTGATTGGCTCCCTCGTCTGTTTCTAAGCGAAAAACGATTCCTTTTCGAGTCACGAGAAAGATCCGCCTTGAAGAATCTACTTGACACCATCCGTTATTCTGGCTGCAAAATGTTGATGGAACTTTGAAACTTGCGCTCATATTTTCCACCATTGTTGTCTAGTCTGTGACGTTTTTGAAATTTAACGACAGGACGCGATGTCCTTTTTCGTCATTAATCTTTCCTCTTTTCCAAATTTCTATGTTCTAATTATGTGCATATGAACGACTTTTCAAAGGTCCATCTCTACTGGAGGTCGTTTGTTTACAATTATTAATTAATCATTTAAAATTATTACGTTCTGTTTACATCAATAAAGTTTTTTTTTCTCTTGTCGCGGTTTCATATGACTAACACAACTAATTCGATCTTTGATCGGTTTTTAACAATAGACGATTTTTTTCTCTAGTTTCGTTTTAATAAATTCCTAATAATAAATATTTAATTTCAACCCGTTTTTGGGGCCTCACATATGGAGTTAAGTGTTATCTTAAGCTGATTAAAAGCAATGAAATGCAATTAAAATAAACGTATAACAGCTTATTCTTGAAATTCTTTTTAAACTATAAAGCCGCTTTAATTGTGAAAACAAGTATAATAATTGATGAAAATACAATAAAACCTTGACTTAACGTACAAAATTTTCGGTCCGTATGTCAAATATGAAAATTAACGCACTATTACATTATAAAACACATTGAAAAATTAATTAAATTAACAGCTTTTTTCAAACTTAAGAGTCATCGCTCATAAAATAAACTTTCCAATATTTGTTTGCTTACTTATTTGGATTTAGATCGTATATTTGTTTATTACGATCTTAGAACTACGGTGAGTACATAAACAATAATACATAGCGAAAAACTTTTCTGTGAAATGAAACTTCTCATACATACCTACTTAATTTTAATTATACAAACGTATCTACTTAGGTAAAAACAAAAACTAATTTGTCAATTTTTTATTATGCGCATTCAGAAAACCTACTTTATAACGGACACCCTTACCCAAATAGGTCCATTAATTTAAATCGGAGGTTTTACTGTATTTTAAAAATTTATTTATAATGTAATAAAAGTAAGAAAATTATCATTTTAAATTATAATGATGATTTTAAAGATCTTGTTATTATTTTTGCACCGTTTCCGCTTTATGGACACAAAAGACCTTTTTAAATTAATCATATCCATCATGGTTCGGCACAAGCCTGCGATGAGACGGCCGGGTTGTGAGGGATTATATAAAATACCTGACATATCCAGACGGACCACCCCGAAAAATTTATGAGTTTTTTCGATCTCGGACTTTCAAAGCAATAGGCTACCATCTTAGCTATCTATCCGGCCATGGCGACGGCCGGATACGAGTCGTAAGATATTCGCGGCAGATTAGCTCTGAAAAATTCCTGGACTGGAACTCGGGTTCCCCTCAGGTTGATATCTCTAGCATCTACTCGATCCCGTCGTTAAAATCGTTAAAAAGTTACAAAGTTGAAAAATTTTATATGTTTTTGGCTATTTTTAGATTTGGATTGCGAATTTCTATACAATCTGGCATCACTGTACTTCGTTAATAAGGTGATGTAAAAGCTAAAGGTTTAGTGTTTATGTCAAGATGGCTGTTTGTTTTTTATGAGATTTATATATTATAGGAAATAAGGTAAATATTAATCGTTTATTATATTACAAAACGGAAAAGAACTGTGATTATAATCAACTTGTAGACATGTACGCTTATTAATTCATCTGCACATTTGAAAATGCTTAAATCAATTTCTCTAATTGCAAACTAAAACCTGATATATTAAATAAATAATTTCCTTGATATTTTGCAAAAAATATTAAACACTTTTCTGTTTGAAACTAGTTATTATTGTTTATAGGAGTAATTAACTGCAATTAGGAATTTAAGTTACATAGACACACGATCTGTATTTACATAACTGATTTGTATATTTAGATGTATTTAAAAAGATAATTGATTCTTACTTATTTCTTAGCTAATTTTATCCATATATTTTTTAATGGAATTATGTTATATATTCTGCTGATGTTATTTTGATGCTATTAATCGAATATAATTATGTATTTTAATATAAAAATGGAAGAGTATTGTTCCAGAATAAATTTTCCATTCTATAAACACTATTAAAGTTGTTTATATAAACTTTAATATTTTGTAAAGTACATATACATATATAATTTTTTTTTTTAATAAAGTAAAGATTATATAAATGTGTGGATACATGCAAAGTCTGTAGTTGTAGTAAATAAGTTAATTGGCTTAAATAAGGAAAGTAAACAAAAATTTAATTAATTTAATTTTTTCATTATATTTATGGAATATGATTCAACAAAAATGATTTTATTTTATCTTAAATAGTATGGGAAAAAGAAGGGATAAAACAGTAAGAAGACAAAAGCTTCAGTTGAATGATGAAAAACCACCAGGTACAAATAAAAATATTTAATTTTAATCATTTAACGTATATTATTGATTATTGTGTTTTATTTTTAGTGAGTACAGTTAGAAATCCTCTACAGAAAATAATGCAATATAGTGACAGTGAAGAGGAAGGAAATAAAATTAATAGTATGTTATAATTTTTCATATTAATATTAATTAATATCATGTTATAATAGTATGTTATAGTAAAAATTTATTAAATTAATAATATCTCATGTATAAAAGGATATTTCTTAAAGTGATGAAATCTTTTATTTTTCTTAGATAATGAAATGTCATCTACCAATGAAAGTAAACAGGATTCATCAAGACACATTGATTTAGAAGTTGCTGATTTTCTTAAGGTTTGAATTTTGATCAAGTTCCTAAAATCATTTTAAAATCACTTCTAGTTATTAATTTTCTTATTAAAGCATTGTTAACTGAATTTTAATACCATGACATTCAGGAAAAACTTTCCCTTATTTTTATTTGAATCAATAATGTTATCATATTAAATATATTGGAAATGAAGTTATAATTACTGAAAACCAATGAAATTATTGTATTAAAAATGATCTAAGACTATTTTATTTGGAATAAATACATAAAATACACTCATTGATAAAAGTTGCAGTGGGTCCAGGGACTCAATATGTAGTTCCTGTGAATAATGTTTAGGAAGAGGCAAAACAAAATTCAAGAGTAACTTGATTTAAATTATGATTTTTATCATTATTCAATTGCACATCTATGCAACAATACTTTTAAAAATGATACAATACAAATTGTCTGTTGTATAATAATATAACTTGTCTTACTTTAAAGATTGTTATACTTGTTATACTGTAAAGATTGTTATTGTTATATCATCACTGTCATTTGACAGTGATGATTTTTGACAACAACATAAGCTTCTGATATTCCAATTGCAAATAACAAGTGTTGCACAGATGAAAATGCAACACATCATCACTTGGAAAATTTTTCAGTTTTCTTAAACAGTTCTTGAATCACATTCACAAATGCTAGAAACATATCTAAAAGGATTGTTCATGAAATGCTTGTCAAATTTTACAAAACTGCAATATATTTTCAATGTTTCAATGTATCAACATTCAATTTTAATTTCTTTTGCTGAAACTTCCGGACATAACTGCAACTTGCTTCATTTTCTTTCACTTCACATTTTCTTTCTATTCTCCAGTGGTTATCTTAGAAGTATTTGGACCATTCATTGCAATAATACTTTTGGAAACAATATGATAAGTAGCATCTTAGTAAGACACCAACCGAATGCCATAAATCAATCGGGCTATTTTAATGCTAAATACTAAATAAATTACGTAATTAATTTGGCACTAGAGGTAAGTGTTAGGCGCCATCTCTTATTAATATTAATAATTATAAATAAATTAATTAATTTAAACAATTTAGAACCACTGGGAGAAAAAATCGGCCCGGAGCGGGACTCGAACCCACAACTCCTGCTTACCGTGCAGATNATCTGCACGGTAAGCAGGAGTTGTGGGTTCGAGTCCCGCTCCGGGCCGATTTTTTCTCCCAGCGGTTCTAAATTGTTTAAATTAATTAATTTATTTATAATTATTAATATTAATAAGAGATGGCGCCTAACGCTTACCTCTAGTGCCAAATTAATTACGTAATTTATTTAGTATTTAGCATTAAAATAGCCCGATTGATTTACAGCATTGGGTTGGTGTCTTACTATATTGGATATCGGGTTTGGAGATGTTTATTTAAGTAGCATCTTATTGCATAGTATAATTAATCTTAGTCTGACAACAGTCATACTGTAGTAAGTGCATAAAAGTTTGGCATTTGCTATTAGACTATCTTAATTGATCAGTATGACACTCATACTAATGACTTGTGTGCAAGCAGTCAAGTACTACTAAGCACACAGTGACTCTCACTTTTGCCACTTTAAATAGTATGTACATAAACTTTAAATTGGAGTATCCCTATAACTATTCACATTTTTGAAATACCAAAATAAAAACAGTTCTTGAATCTTCAGTTCTCTTTCCAATGATACCTAAATTAGTTTTCCGTGATATATGGTATGGACTTATTCTGCTTTACAAGTGTGCAATAGACATTGTTCATGTCAAAAATAATCCAGCAACATTTAAAATTTTGGTGGTACCTTGATATTTTATTTAAAAGTTTTTATATTTATAATTATTATAAAATGGCAAAAAGCTTAATTTTGAGGGTAGGGATGGGTTTTATAAAAAATTATAAATGTTAATAATGAGAAAAATTGCCATTAAGTCCAATCCTACTCGAGATATGACACACGACTCCCTTTTCTCCCCCTGTTGACTTTTAACCACCAAAATTTAATAGCATCAATCCCCTAGTACACACCTCCCTGCAAAATTTCAGAAATTTTTGACAAAAATGTAAGTTCGCTGACCTGGTGGAGATTGGAAACTTTTTATTCCACTCTCGGACACCAGTGTAAGTTCTCCGACTCCCGGGGGGAATCATTAATCCCGCGTCAGAATGATCTAGGGTCGAACGCGTGTGGGTGTGGTGGAGGAGACACAGATGACAAGAATCTCACAAAAACCCGTTTATTTTATACATAAAATTAAACTTACACCTAGGAACTAGAACTATCTAGATACAGTCGACTGTTTGGACGTCGAGGATGTTTATCTCTCGTCACTTGGAGATGGGCTGCGGGACTGCGGCAGGTAAGAAGACTTGCCGGGAGGTGTCGGCGGCACAGCTCTTTCGATGGACACTTGTGCGGACTCTGCGTCTTCTGTGCGTCGACACACACAGAGAGTTTTTGCTCCGGACTTTTTGGAGTGCAAGTACTCAGTAGCACAGTTTACGGAAGAAGTCTCTCTGTCCTTGAAGATCGGGGATTATATCAATCTGCGTTTCTAATTTGTTTTCTGATTGGCTCCCTCGTCTGTTTCTAAGCGAAAAACGATTCCTTTTCGAGTCACGAGAAAGATCCGCCTTGAAGAATCTACTTGACACCATCCGTTATTCTGGCTGCAAAATGTTGATGGAACTTTGAAACTTGCGCTCATATTTTCCACCATTGTTGTCTAGTCTGTGACGTTTTTGAAATTTAACAACACGACGCGATGTCCTTTTTCGTCATTAATCTTTCCTCTTTTCCAAATTTCTAGTTCTAATTATGTGCATATGAACGACTTTTCAAAGGTCCATCTCTACTGGAGGTCGTTTGTTTACTATTATTAATTAATCATTTAAAAATATTACATTCTGTTTACATCAATAAAGTTTTTTCTCTCTTGTCGCGGTTTCTTATGACTAACACAACTAATTCGATCTTTGATCGGTTTTTAACAATAGACAATTTTTTCTAGTTTCTGTTTTAATATTTTTCTAATAAATTATTTAATTTCAACTCATTTTTGGGGCTTCACAAAAAGCACAGCAGTTATTATGCCTCAAAGAGGGTAAACTTTTTTTTTGTCAATGTGTTTGTACACACATTGACAAAACAGTTACCTTGATAAATTGTCTAATTACTATAAACTTGGCATACAGCTATATCTCAGACAGGTAATGATCACAGTTGTGGAACAAACCCCCCATACACACAAACATTCATACATACAGGAAAAGCACCAACATTGTTTTTGCATTTTTTGATGTTTCAAGGTCCTGAATCCAAACTGTAAAAATCTTGGGGATCATTTTTTGACCAATTGCCATACTTTCCTTCTGTTATATATAACAGAGCCAGGAAAGTAAAAAAGTTACTTTCTAAGGAAAAGTTATTGGAATTGAATGAAACTTTATTAACCTTTAAACAGTGGACTAGTTTGGTATGGTTCTACCCCCAGTAGTGGAGAATATATGTGGGAAATTTTTAAAGTATTTTTCCACACATTTTTATTCATTACTGTTTCAAAAAAGATTTTGTAAACAGTTATGTCTAGTAAAACAAAGTCTTTTTTATTGTTACATAATTTATTTTTTTATGTGAATTTTTTTTTTTTTTGTGGTAGTTATAGGCTAGTTTTTGGCGATACTCCCCAAAAGAATTTGACAACTATAGTCGTCCCTCACCACTGCCACACAATCGCCTTTGACGACTATAGTCGTCTCACTGCTGAGTGGTTAATGCAAATGTAATGATAATGGTAATAAGGTTGGTATTACAAAGTTGTCACTCTGTTTTGGTATTACAATACCAAAACAGAGTGACAACTTTCTGTGCAACAATAGTACAATTTAAAGGAACCTTTAATTAATACTTTGTATGATCTCCTTTTGGCCTGGATATAGTTTGTATATAGGATATATATAGATAATATAGGATATAGCCTTATATATATGGTGATATAGTTGGGCATGGAGACATACAGACACTATATACTATCCTGTGACAACTTTGTCTACAGATGTTGCCACTCTAGATCCCAAACACTTATAGATGAGTGAAGCTGGCATTTTATCTGGTCCCACAAATGCTTGATGGACAACGAATATAGAAATCAGACAAACCAAGAAGTGTGGCAACATGACAGAGTGACAGAGATATTATTTGAAACTTCTAGCTGTGTGCAATTGAGCATTATTTTTTCTGAAAATGACTGTTTGTTGCTTGCCATGAAAGTCAATACAAAATGGCTCCCCAGAGTAGCATACCAGCAGTAGAGTTGTGTATTTTCAACAGTGAAGGCATCAATTGAAGATTGAAACAGCTGAAGCATCAAAGATTGAAATTCTCACTAGTGGTTCTCCATACTCTAACATGATGGCCATCCATTATCAAACAGACCAAGATTTGCCTTTAAAGACGATATGCTATCAAGTCATACTTCTCTGTCATGGCACTATTGTGTGAGAGATCGGACTTGGAAAGGGGAAAATCCCACAATTTTATTCGGAAATTTTTCAAAAAAAAATTCATTTTTCGTTTTGAAAAGGAAATTTATTTTAACATGATGGCCATCCATTATCAAACAGACCAAGATTTGCCACTAAAGACGATATGCTATCAAGTCATACTTGTCTGTCATGGCACTATTGTGTGAGAGATCAGACTTGGAAAGGGGAAAACCCAGAATTTTATTTGGGAATTTTTCGAAAGAAAATTCATTTTTCATTTTGAAAAGGAAATTTATTTAAATCTCAGAAAGAAAAAACTTTTTCCATTTTATTACTGGAGGATGAATGCATTTCTTTTCCCGGAGTCGTTTCTTTTCCCAGGGAACTCAGAACATGTCACTGGGAACTACAACAAAAAAATTCACTATTGGTGGAAAATGACAACGTGACTTGGAAATAAAGAGAAGATCTCAAGGAACAGTGAGAGGGGTCGAGAGTCTGAGAGAATATTCCG